AGTGTTGTAAATACAACTTAACCACTGATTTGTAGTCGTGTCCTCTTTTGGAAGACCAACCAAAGTAGTTTCGCTTTTCACACAGTACAACACAGTGGCCTAGTGTGAGGGGAAGCCCCGGCTTAGAGTGAGCTGAGGCTGGGATAGAGTGAGCTGATGCGGCGGGGTTGAGAACGGCGCGCCCGGCGGATCCGACGAATGAGCGGCAATATAATATTTGAAAAGAAATTGCTTAAATGTGTTTGTTGCATAGCACAAGGCATGGACGCAATTCAAGCAGGTACTATAATAAAAACTAGTTTCTATTTAGATTTAATTTACCATCATGTAAAGTATATTTTGAATTCTATTAGATTGTATCAAAATTCTGACATCAGCAAGGTATGACAGGAAAGAGTCAGATTACAGTGTGCCAAATGAATATGCCTTACTGCAACTCTGTCATCAACAACACTGATGCAATTACGTACGTTACACGTTAAAACAACAGCGATGTTTGGAATATAATAAAAGACTGCGCATGCTGTCTGTGACGCAGCAGATCTGTTTCGAATTTTCATAAGATTCTACAATCGTCATAAATGGACGCATATGACACGCGGGCACATCGACTCAGTATCATGCGCGAGATGTCCTTGCAGTCCTCGAGCGTGGCGGCCCGGATGGTGAATTCCATCCTGTGTTCTGTAATAACAAACTGAGCAATAAAATAAAGTAAAATAAAATAAATAACCAAGAGTGTTTGTCGACGTGGACTATGAAAAGGACAGACGTGTTTATGTTGCTCTGACTCTCACGCGGCGCTTAGAAACTGTTAAAACAGCGCCATCTGCAGGTTCTGAGGTGATATCACAGTCATTGGCCATTTATACAATTATTGTAAAGAACCCTTTGTAAAATAACCTTTGATTTTAAAACAGTAGATTCAAATGTGTTTAATGTTAGACGCATCTAGATATATGCACGTTATCGTTTGAATGATTATTCCACCGAAACATACAGTAGGCTATAATCAAAGGTTGACTCATGAGAGCTGTTTTAACAGTTACTTTCATTATTACTAGTAACATTATTCATTGTGGTGTTTAATATTAATTTGTGCCAGTGGCATTTCCCCCTCAGTAGAAATCTCTAAGAAATCTATCTAAATATTTCTACCGAGGGGGAAACTTTAACCCCCCATCATCCGCCCAACCGTGCACACCACTGATTGTGCTGATGTGATTTCTCCCTCACACATGATGTGGATTCTTTCCTAAATCATTCTTGACTGTTATTGTTATTAAAAGACTAATGTTGACTATTATTAATATTAAAGCTGAATAACCTTGAACAAACATAACACGTTTTCATCTAGTACAAGTCTTTTGAGCCAACATTTATTAAGACAACAGACTGATGTTAATGATTTTGAAGTTTACATAAAGGATGGTTCACCCAAAAATGAAAATTCTGTCATCGTTTACTCAACTTCAGGTTGTTCCAAACCTGTATATGTTTCTTTCTTCTGTTGAGCACAGCACACAAGATTTTTGAAGAATGCTGGTAAACATTAAACCAAACAGTTGACGGTAACCATTGACTTCCATAGTATGGAAAAAAAATACTATAGAAGTCAATAGCTACCATCAGCTGTATGAAGAATGTTGGTATGTTCTGATGACAGAATTTTCTGGGCGATAAAAAAGTACTGTTTCTTTAAAATGTAATTACTCTAAATTTTAAGGCCTTTTATTCTCATGTTATTGTTATTCCCATAATAAATAAATAATAGCTACTATGTGGCTGAACAAGACTCCAAGAGTAGGTGTTTATGTAATGCTATAAACATATTTAGATCTATAACATATCCAAAACTGTTTATCTAGTATAATGCCGTTTTACACATGTATCCTTTTTTAATTTAAATTCAGACTGCATATGTAACCGGCTCATAATATGATCACTTTCCCTTAGTGTGACATTAGCTCATTAAATGTAAGGCCTACATTAATCAGGGCTGTTCAACTCAGGGGTGTAAACTGTATTTTCAGAGTTTGTATGCTGCTAAATATAGATTCGTGGGCTCAGGCACTAGTTAGACGGACAGGGCGGGGTTGCTTTTATTTGAACAGTTATATTCAGATTTCGCTCTCGGAAACTGGCCTCGTGCCACTCAAAACAGGTCCAGTGCTGAAGTAACGGGCACTGCTGACTGAACCGTTGTCTGAGGCTGACTAACGCAAGCGAGGGGGAAAATGCTGCCGTTTTCCATCAGCTACGCATGATCCTCAGATGACGCATGTAAAAGGTCCAGCCGCATGCAGTGAAACAGTGGGTTTCAGACGGAAACAAACAGCTAATTGCGTTCGATATCCTTGAGTAGGCTGAATGGACAGGTGAGGGCGAGAAAATCTTGAAAGACCATACAGTAGCAACATCTTCAGCAGAGGCGGACAAAGTACTCAACTCCATTACTTGAGTGAAAGTACAGATACTGCTGGTCAAACATTACTCCATTACAAGTAAAAGTTGTAAAGACAGATTTTTACTTAAGTAAAAGTACAGAAGTACTTGCTTTTAAAAGTACTTAAGTACCAAAAGTAAATTTCCTTTTTTATGTCAATGCACTGTGTTATTGTTGTATGTAATATTTGCAATACTTAATAGTAACCTTAATTTAACTGTATATAAAAATACACCTTGCTACGTGTACTGTGTTAGGCTAACCGAGACTTGTCATTTGCACTTATATATTATTGCTCTTTTGTTAGTTTTGATTGCTTCAATTGTCCTCATTTGTAAGTCGCTTTGGATAAAAGCGTATGCTAAATGACTAAATGTAATGTAAATGTAAATGTAATTTAATAATAAAGAGCTTTTAGAATGTTAAAAACCTATGGGGAAAAAAATGTAACACCCCTACCCACCCCCACAAAAGCAGGATGGTAGTGATCGCACACAGCTCTACACATCTATGTGTAGCATCATCCACATTTGAACAGAGTGGACAGTGAAATCCTGTAAATACAGAGTGATAAGGAAGAAAATAAAAAATCATACCTGCTTTAAAACCCAGCAACACAACTGTAGCTGTATAACTTTACAACAGCAAGACTTATTTGCCATCAAAACAAAAATTTAAAAAAATGCTGTCTAATCGCTCTCGTTGTACTTTGATGTCACGCACAGAACAGTCTGTGCAGTGCTGCTTCAAGTCCAACACCTATTGAAAATGTACTTAGTTACTGTCCGCCTCTGATCTTCAGACAAAATACTTCTTAAGTCCAGTTGCCACATTACAACAATCCTTTGTCAGAGCTGTCAATTTGTAGGCCAACCCCGGAATGCTAATTCTTCACCACTGTATTTTAATATCTGACGTTTTAGTGCGTTTTTGTTTTGAATTACACACAACTATAACTCAGTTGTAAACGCTGGCATCATATTTTTTTTAAACCACAAGTTGCTGTTTGCTTTGTAATGACTAATTGTCTGATTCGTCAACTCACAATTCTTGTGGTAGCCTAGTTGTTGAACTTTATTTGGGAACTAGTGTGAAAACTTAAGTGTAAAAAACAAACAAACAAAAAAACGCAAATGTGGAAAAAACAGCAGTTTCAAAATTCAGGTTTGAATAAGTGTATGTAATTAAAAAGCAAAAGATAAAACTTTCTTCAAGTAATGTTAACCACAGACCTTTAATTTACGCAGAAATCCAAAACTGACATTTCAGACAGTTAGGGTTAGGATCGAACCCATGACTGGAAAATGTTCATTCTCTTCTGGGTTTTAGAGCCACAAACTAGACTGCTGTATTTGTGCCTGAAATGTCAAGGACATCACTGACGCAAAAGACAACCTGCGAGTGATTAACAGTTTTATGAAAATGTCGAATGTGGCAACATGAAAGGAGAAAATTGAGTTTTTTCTTTAAGCTACATGGTGCCTCGGTATAGGCTCATTAGTACCATGATAGTGCCGAGAACCATTATATAACTGACATTAACACTTCTAACTACAGCACTTAGAAACTCATGCATTCATGGAAAAATAGCACCCCTGACGCCACAGCTAGTAGACCTTTTTATACACTCCTCATAGATGGAAGAACAGAGGCACAGTCACTCTGCACATGGGATGTGAGAACCTTTATGCAGAATTTGATTGATCTAAACATTAGTGAAAAAACTATGGCTCTTAGATGTATTTAACAGTCAGTGTTAAACAATGTAAAGTACACTAAATTTAAATGTAAACAGTGCACAAATATCAACAGACTACACCCAAAATAACACCAGCTGAAGGTCCACTCGTAGCCTACAGACTATGATGCATTCTCCTCTTGATCTTGTGCAGGGCAGGAAACGGTCTTCCTGTTTAGTCTATGACGTGATGACTTTCTTTTTCTGCTACTATAGTATCTTTTTTTGGGGTGCTTTCATCCGAATAAATGTGACATGACGAAAGTTCAGGCAACTGAATAAAGGTTTTAATGGAGATATACCTTTTAAAAAGCCTAAAAATATTGTGATCAGTCAAAACTGAAAAGCAAAATTTTAAAATGAAAAAGTTTTAAAGTTTAGCACAGTCTGCTCTGATTTGCCTAGAGAACATTTATGTAAAATCACTAATACAGTTGAATAACATTTTTTGTCAAATTAATCAACTTCTATATGTTAATCAACTGCTATTCATATATTTATATATAGATCAGATAAAAAAGGAAATGAGCTCATAATCTAGCTGATGCAATTGAGCTGCAAGAGAGTTCAAGAGTGAGGAAAACAGAAAAAAAAAAATCTTATTCAGTGTACAGGACTAACGTCCCTCTTTCCCATATTAGGAGAAGAGCAACTGTTTGTCATCACACTGTATCTGAGTGAGGAAATAGACTGAGCAAACATTGCCCGTCAGCGTCCAGACACAGTTAGCATTAGTCATGTGACATTACAGTGAGTCGATCTGGCCAAGCTGTGGCTTTCCAGCACAAGACTTAATATTTTATTAGACATGAACTGTTTCTGTCAGTGAGTGAGGCAATCAAAAATGTAGTTTTCCTAATCTAAACTACATCTGCTATTAAAAGCAGTACATTTAGGTAAAACTTTATTCTATCATTGACGACTCTTGTCCACACTACACTGACCTCCAGAAATGAACTGAAATAGCTGTTCTTCAGGGTGTGTTTGCAGCCAAAACAAACAAGTACATTTAGTACATGTGTTATTTACACATCCAGACAAACGTGAGTAGAGGCACTCATGGACATAGTGTGCACACACCTACTCATGCCAACAAGAAAGAACATTGAGGGATTTATTTTAGATAATGTGAGTGCTGTAGTGTTTTAGAATTGCTAGCTATGTATGTACATTAAAAACTTCTAATGAAAAAACAAAAACACAAAATTGAGGCCTATTATTTGCCTGATAGTTTCACATTGTAATTTAAGTAGTTTCTTTTGATGGAGGAGAGAAGTGGGTGGTTACTCTGATTACTAAGATGTTGAGTTTAAGAAAGCAAGCAGAAAACACTTTTTTATGCTTTGCTTCCCTGAAGTTCTCAGGCTCCACAAATAGCAACCCCATCCCTTAAAAAACAACAAACCTTATTGGACATTAGATTAAGAACAGAGTTATCACCAAAAAGATCACAGATACAAGAAAGTTTTATCCAGAAATGGTTGTATTTATATTTATACAGCATTTGGTATTAAATTATAATGTGCACACATGATACCTTACTTGCTTATTGCCATACTGGCAACAAAAAAAAAAGTGGTTTACGTCAAATGCTTTACCTGTGACAATTGTTCAGTTATTCCTGCTTTGGC